TGTGGCATCAGCCTAGCTCACAGCAACCTCCAATCCTGGGCTCAAGTGATCTCCTGGCTCAGCCTCCCGAGTAAGCTGGGACTACAGGCATGACCACCATGCCTGGCTAATTTTCTATATATATTTTTAGTTGGCCGATGAATTTCTTTTTATCTTTAGTGAGAGACGGTGTCTCGCTCTTGTTCAGGCTGGTTTCGAACTCCTGACGTTCAGCAATCCTCCTCCTCAGCCTCCCAGAGTGCTAGGATTTACAGGCATGAGCCACTGCACCCGGCCACATTCTCAATTCTTAAACTTTTGCCTTTTGCCACCTGGCTTTGCTAAGCAACACACACCATAGATTAAAACAAAACGAAACAAAACTAAACCACTTCTAGTTTCTTAATTTCCTACTTGGTCTGATGGAAGCTGCTGGAAAACTGGATAACCACACAACCATACAGATGAGTTTGATTTCGAAGTTATAAACTGAATTTTCAAATGGAGTCTCAAAGCAACTCAGTAAGTAAAATATATTTATATATAGAACTCATAAAAGCGCAAAGCAAGCAAGCAAACAAAATGCCCCTTAAATGCACTTAGGCAATGTCACAGAATTTATTTTAAATGTCTAATTTTAATGGCTCCATATTATCCTCCTGTTTAGACACACTGAAATTTATTTTTAACTTTCCTTTACTGGTGGGTATTTAGATGGTTAATGACCAGGACTCTAACTTTTTATTTAGAATGAGTTCCTAAAGATAGAATTAGAGAGCTATGAAAATAACGGTTTAAGGCTCTTGATGCACTTTGACAAATGACCTTTGAGAAAAGTGGGAACGTTAGAATCCAAAAACAGCAAAAAAAAAAAGTAAGAACTATTTTGTCCTGTATTAGCACACTGTACGTAACCAAATGTGACCATATAGTAATCGGTGGCCAAAGTAGCACTGATAGCATTTAAAAGTCTTTAAGTGCCAAAAATGGGTATGTGTGTGTTTTATTCTTTGATTACTAGAAAGGTTAATTTTTTACTTTGTAAGTTTCTTAGCATCTATTGTTTGTGAATTGCCTGCTCACATTTTTAAAGTACATTTGGACTGTTCCTGGCCATCTCACTTCCCGATTCTACACCTTCCCAAGTTTGCTTCCTATATTTAAATTTTTTCTTTTTTTTTTAAATTTTTTTGAGACAGAGTCTCACTCTGTTGCCGGCTAGAGTGAGTGCCGTGGCGTCAGCCTAGCTCACAGCAACCTCCAACTCCTGGGCTCAAGGGATCCTCCTGGCTCAGCCTCCCGAGTAGCTGGATCAGCATGCACCCATGCCGGCTAATTTTTTCTATATATATTTTTAGTTGGCCAATTAATTTTTTCTATTTATAGTAGAGACAGGGTCTTGCTCTTGCTCAGGCTGGTTTCAACTCCTGACCTCGAGAGATCTCCTGCCTGGGCCTCCCAGAATGCTAGGATGACAGGCAGCGTGGCCACCCCACCGCTGCTACGTCTTTAAATTACAGTGAGTCTATCCAGCAAAAAAAAAAAATCTCCTCTTCTTATCTGCATATCCTGTCTTTCGTATTGTGCTGGTTTACTTACTGACAACTGAGAATCCTTTCCCCCCATTTTTTTTTCCGTGCTACTTTGTTATCACCTGGGCTAGAACCCTGGGAGTTGCATTTACCAGAATTCTACCGACCAGATTTCAGGTGAGATTCCAACAGATCTCTCACGCAAGATGCGGCAGGCCAAAAGGAAGCAGAAACCTCGTGCGTGCTGAGCGGTTGCAGCCAAACACGTGGGCTTTGGCAGAAAGGAAAATGTGAGGCTTTTCTGCCTTCTGGTGTTTTCCCCACCTGCTGTCCATTTGCTGCTGCTACTACGGGCAGCTGAGATCTCACTGGCATCTCCCTGCCGTCCCGATATAATGGGACTCTTGCATTGGCACAGGTTCCACGTAAGAAGCCCTGCTTCACATGAGCCTGTGTGTGATCTTTCAGGCTGGACCCAGGCAATTCAAGATGGGGAAGCCCCACCCCGCCCCCCGCCCCCAAGGGGGAAGTTGGCCTCTGCACACTGTGTTGTTGCCCTGCCAGTCCACTGCAGTTTTCGGAGGGAATCATAGTGAAGAATCGGGTTCCTAAGGGACAGCCATGTTCTTGCAGGGAGACCTCCTGATCCGGCCCGGGGGTCTTAAGTGCTTCCCAGCACCCCCTTCCCAGGCTTGTTACAGCCCTTTCCACCCTACCGAGTTTCCCGAAATAAGACAGGGTCTTGTATTTATTTTTCCTCAAGAACCTTAGGCTTATTTTCAGGGATTGTTATTTTTTTTTTTTTAAGCACGGTACAACCATCTACATCTATTCAGATAGAGTGAAGTCGTCTTTCTCTGGAACTCATCCTCACTCTCCAAACCCCGAATCCATCCTGAATGTCTTGCGACTCTGTTTCCTTTAGAACCACTGGCCCCGATCTCTCTGTGGAGCACTAGAGCTCTCACGGGGCAGGTGAGAAGGGCTGCTTCGTGTTCTTTCCGCTCCGCGACGACTCGCATGGTTGTGCAGATGCGCTGCGCAGCACACGCCCGTCACTAGGGCTTATTTTCATAGCCACGCCCACCACTAGGCTGATTTTCACAGCCACGCCCATCACTAGGGCTGATTTTCATGGCCACTCCCACCACTAGGGCTGATTTTCATCGGCCACTCCCAACCACTAGGGCTGATTTTCATAGCCAGCCCACCACTAGGGCCTGATTTTCATGGCCACTCCCACCACTAGTGCTGGATTGTTCATAGCCACGCCACCACTAGGACTGATTTTCACCAGCCACGCCCATTCACTCGGGTGATTCATAAGCACTTCCCGTCACTAGGGCTTATTTTTGGTTTTGTTGGGGGTAGGATTTCTATGGCGCACTGCTTTAAGACATCCTGTAGGGGGCTTATTTTATGAGGTAGGCTTATTTTGGGGATACACGGTAGGGGTCTTTGGAGTAAAGTTAAATGAGGTCAGGGGGTGGGTGGGACCCTACGGGAGAGCTCCCTCTCTCTCTCTCTCTCTTTCTCTGTCCACTGGTTGGCACACAGGTGAGCAGACCGATGGGAAGACACAGCAAGAAGTAGCATTTGCAAGCTTAAGAGACAGGACTTGCCAGCGCCCAACCCTATTGGCATTTGATCTTGACTTCAGCCTCCAGAACTGTGAGAAGGAAACTGCTGTCGAAGGCAGCCGGTCTGTGCTCATTCTGTATAGGGCCCACCTCGCAAACCAGCGCAGACCTGACCGGGGGTGGGGGTGAAGATGTCCACGTGCAGGAGCAGCAAACTGTCTGCAGAGAACCAAACACTTCCAGGGAGGGGAGGACAACGGCACAAAGCTCTGGGATGCTGAAACTGTCTGTGCCCTGGCAACCACATGAAGACAGTAACTTCCTGGGTTTCTATGATCCATCGGAAGTTATTTCTGAAATGGCTTTGGGGAAGGAGGCCAAGCAACACACAATAGTTATGGAGAGAAGAAATGGATTTGGTTCTGATGGCCCTGGTTTCACCCCTAAGGAGACAAGGTGATGGAGGACAGGAGGGAGACACAGGGTTTCCATGGGTGAGCACGCCTCTTAGGACTGGACAGTGAGTAAGTTCAACCTTTGCACGTTACAGATGTCAATCATCAAAACCAGGAGGAAATGGGCGGATATCTCTAGCCTCTCGGCTTCCAAGATCTTCACGTCAGCCTTGGACATGGAGGGGCAGCAGCTTCTGATCGCGTACCCCTGTGCCTTGCTCTACGGACTTTTTGCCCTCCTGACAGTTTTCTGAAGAACGTTTAAGGTGGCCTTCCGAGATTCTGATTCGTTTGCTGTTCGGATCATCTCGGAAATGTATTCGTATTCGAAGTTGGTGGTGTCCTTTCTGTCTTAACTGCTGTCGAGAGAATCATAAGCAGAGAGACAAAACAGCACTTAAGGATGGTTCCCTAATAGCCTATTGGTTTCAATGATGTTTTGCTTTTCAGTTTGGTGCATTAAAACATTTAAAAATGCTTAGTAAAAAGAGACGTTGGCTGCTGTACTGATGGACCCTACTTTTCTCAATAGATGTATTTCTGAGAAATTATAAGTAAATAAGATCGTATGCTTACCGATTAAAGGAAATCTCTAATAAGCCTTTTGAAAAAAAATTCATGGCAGCTCAAGCTGTGTGCAATGTGGGTTAAAAATTGCACTGTTTAGCACCTTTGGAGACTTCAGGGGTATGTTATACAGGGTTTTTATTTACGTGAAGAGTCAAAGAACCTCCTGTCTTTCAATTCACTTACTTTAATAATGGTTGTTTGGTCTCATTTAGATAATGCATTGACTCACTACTTTTCCAAGCCCTCACTTCCTTCTTACTTAGTTAAGATGCCATGGTCCATTACTATAATTTCTCCCTTGCGTATGCCATCAGCAACCTTGCCATTTTCTCCCTAAGTAGATGAATGTCACTAGAGAAAATCCCACTTATTTCACATTTATTGTATTACCATATCTCAAATGGCTCCTCGATACTACCCGTGAGTCCTACTACATTCTCCTACTAAATTTGCTTCCATACCAGACTTTATTAGATTGTTGATATTTGAGCTTTCTATTTTTTTTGGATGTGAGCATTTAATGCTGTTAGTTTTCCTCTCAGGAATGCTTTTACTGAATCCCACAGATTTTGATAACTTGTGTCCCAGTTATCATTTAGTTCAAAGAATGTTTTGATTTCTTTCTGTATTTCCTCCTTTACCTAATAGTTATTCAATAACAGATTGTTTAATTCCCGTGAGTTTGTGAAGTGGTGTGTATTTCTGTTGGAATGGAACTCTAATTTTATACTACTATGATCTGATGAGATACACAGTATTATTTCTATCTTTTTTTTTTTTTTATTTTGTTGAGGTCTGAGTTGTGGCCTCATATATGTTATCAATTTTGAAGAAAGTTCCATGAGCTGATGAGAAGAATGTATATTCAGTTTTATGTGGGTGGAATGTTCTGTAGAGGTCTGTCAGACCCTTTTGTTCTAGAGATCTGTTTAAGTCCATCATTTGTTTTGCTTATTTTCTGTTTGGAAGATCTGTCCTGTTCATTCAGTGGGGTGTTAAAGTTCTCTGCTACTTATGGCATTATGGTTTATCATGCTATTTAGATCAGACAGGGCTTGCTTTATGTACCTGGGTGCTCCGGAGTTGGGTGCATAAATATTAAGAATTGTTAAGTCTTCTTGTTGGATCTTCCCTTTCACCATTGTATAGTGGCCATCTTTGTCCTTTCTTACTTTTGCTATTTTAAAGCTTATGTTATCTAAAATAAGTATAGCTACCCCTGCTTTCTTTTGACTTCCATTTGCCTGGTGGATTGTTTTCCATCCCTTCACCTTGAGTCTGAAAGTATCTTTGTGGGTTAGATGCATTTCCTGTAGACAGCAGATACTAAGCGTGTGGATTTTCATCCACTCTGCCAGTCTGCATCTCTTCAGAGGACAATTCAAGTCATTCACATTTATTTTTATTTTTTTATTTTTTTATACATGCACTGTGCATAATATAAATTATGCACAGTGCATGTATAAAAAATAAATAATAAATAAATGTGAATGATTTGAATCATGGCTTGAAAAAATATATACAATAAGTTGTCACGATTTTGATATTTACTGAGGACTTATAGGCTGGCTTAGAGACTTTACATATATTAACTCATTTTTAATCATCGCTGTAATTTTATGACATACCCTTACCATCACCTCCTTCTTACAGATGAAGCTGGTGAGTTACAGAGAGGCTAAGTCACTTGCCCAAGATTACTCAGTCAAGAACTAGGATTTGAATGAGGGAAGCTTGATTTCAGAGTTCCTAATCATCATATAACATGGCATGTAACTCAGCAGTGACATGTCTATCATTTTCCCCACTCAGATTTATCCTTTCTTCTTGACTTTGGCCACTACAACTAGATAGGGCCAATGGGCTTTACCTACTAGGGAAAAATAATATGGCAATGAGGTAGAAGAAGAATCCAGGATGTCTAACAGGGGTACCTGCCTGACTCCTGGGTCCATTCCTGAACTCTAGTTGAAATAAATGATGTAGATTCAGATCTCGTTAGAATTTGGAAAATTGAAAAATTTCACAAAATACAAGTTCTCCTTCCCGCATCCCAGAAAGCGTGTACATTATATGGAATTGTATGGAATGAAGGTATTTTCCTTTTTAATTTCTGAAATAAATTGTGGAACTGATTTGTGATCAGTGGAGTGTGTTACAGAACACATGATAAAGGGAATGAAACACATTTGAGGTACACAGGTAGAAATATATCTTTTTTGGTGTAACACACCAGAAAATGGTTTCCTTTTTCTTTTCCTCAAATGCTTTTAACTTTTTTTTTTTTTTCATCTGAGAATGTAACATTTTTCAACATTTCTTGTCTTTACCGGTTAGTTGAAAGTTGAAGATTATGTGCTAAGGGTAAATGGCACACTTAGTGTCAAGAGATGGCCTTCATTTCGGCAGGAATGATTGGGAACATGGGCTGAAAATAAAAGTCCTGAATTCCTCAGATCCAAGTGCCCCAGTTCACAGCAGTTTAACTAGGGCAGTGGCCTTTGCAACACTGGATGACAGGTGCGTCTCTTCTCTGCGGCGCAGAGGGGCGTGTGCCGTTGTAGATAGGAAGGGAAGCCGCACGGGTGGGAATGACATGTGCGATATGCCCCAAGGCAGGATGCTGGCAAGGCGCAGGGGACGTGACAGTGGCACGGGAGGGACAGTGAGCACCCGGGAAGGGACAGTGATGCACCAGGACAGTGAGCTCTAGGAGGGGGCTCCCGGCTGCGGGAGGAACGCTGGCCATGCCTGTCACCGGCATGCAGGTGAGACCATCACCTGATAGCGCACCACCATCTGTCTGTCTTGCCTTTTAATACCTGACAACGAGGGGCATTCATCCTCTATTTAATGAAAAGTGTGGGCCGTGGTAGCAAAACTGCCATTCTGAACTTCGCTCGGGAGGGTCACTTACTGCCACTGAGGGGCAGGAGAGCCAGCCACAAGTTAAAGCAAGGTTGTTCTGTATCAAAAGCTTATTTAGAGGCTGGGCGTGGTGGCTCACACCTGTCATCCTGGCCACTCTGGGGAGCCGAGCGGGAGTCACTCAAGGTCAGGAGTTCGAACCACCTGAGCAAGAGCGAGACCCGTCTCTACTAATAAATAGAAAGAAATTAATTGGCATAAACTAATATATATAGAAAAATGAGCCGGGCATGGTGGGCATGCCTGTAGTCCCAGCTACTCGGAGGTGAGGCAGGAAGATTCTTGAGCCCAGAGTGTGAGTTGCGTGGAGCTAGGCTGATGCCATGGCACTCTTAGCCCAGGCAACAGACTCTGTCTCAAAAAAAAAAAAAAAAAAAAAAAAGCGTATTTAGAGGAATGTTCATAAATGCTTTCAGATTCCCAGGATTCTGTCATAGAATGCAATTTTGTAGAGCCTCAAGATGCCATTTCCATGACTCTGCTTTGGATAATTTTCATTTCTGCCCAGGGAGTTTGCTTATTCTATAATTGTTTGGACTCCTTCACAAAAGATTTTTTATTCCTAGCATTACCTTTTTTATTAAACCACTGGCTACAAAAAGCATTCATTTCATACATGATTTGCATAGGCCCCTGGGCTTTCCTCTCCGCAAGGGAATCCTACATGCCCGACCTTAATGTTTTGCATACCTATAACCTGTCCCCTATTTACCTGCCTTGCGTCATAACTGCTATCCAAATCAAGAAGTATTGCTTGGCTGGTGAGTGGCTACGCCTGTAATCCTAGCTCTGGGAGCCAAGGCAGGAGGATCGCTCAAGGTCCAGGAGTTTCGAAACCACCTGGAGCAAGAGTGAGGGGACTCCGACTTACTAAAAATAGAAGGAATATAATTGGACCAATAAAATTAGATATAAAAAAGTTACCGGGCATGGGGTGGCGCATGCCGTGTAGTCCAGCTACTCAGGAGGCTGAGGCAGGAGGATCGCTTGAGCCAGGAGTTTGAAGTTGCTTGAGCCAGGCTTGATGCCACGACACTCTAGCGGGCCAACAGAGTGAGAACTCTGTCTAAAAAAAAAAACCCCAAAACACATTGGCTTAATTAAAATGATAGGTCGGATGTAAATCTGCCTTGATGAGATGATAAGCATTAATGCTACGTGATCTTATTAGACGGCTACGTCTGGCAAGATTTCCCAAGTTAAATTCCTTTCAGCATAAACTCTTTTCAACAAACCTCTCGCCAATCATAACTTGACCCAAAAACCTGGACAAAACCCTTCAAATAGCCATTCATATTTGCTCAGGCATATAGTTTCATAGGATTATTATTTTTAAATAATGATAATTCTATTTACTTAATCTTGGCTTTTTCAATATAGCTTAAATAATCTTGAGAAAAATTCCTTTCACTGGAGCAGATATGAACTCACCACAGAATATGTTCACATGATCGCAGACCCACCCTGGGTATCACAACACAGCTCCAAGCACTTCGGAATTAGTAGTTGTTGTGAAAGACTCCTACAACGTGACCCAGAGCTGCCAGTTCAGGCCTCCGGCCTTACTGCTGGGATACATATATTCCACGGGCCAGCAGAGTCTTCTTCAGACTCAACTCCTCTGACTTCTTACTTTTCTCCCTTCCACGAGTAGAAGGAAAATACCATTAGGTATGATCTACCGTGTTTCCCCGAAAAACAACGACAGGTCTGTATTTATTTGTCCTCAAGAAGACACCCTAGGGCGCTATTTTCATGGGCATTGTATTTTTTTTAATATGTACAACCTCTCCAATTGATTAAATGGGGTTAAGTCGTCTTCTCTGGACATCATCCTCACTGTCCAAACCCGAATCCCATCGCTGGAATGTCTTGGATCTCTGTTTCTTTAGAACCACCGGCCGATCCTCCTTGTGAGCACTAGAGCCTCTCACGGGCAGCCCCCTATGAGGAAGAGCTGCTCGTGGTTCTTTCCGCTCCGCGACGAACGACGCATGGGTTGTTGCAGACTGGAGCCGCCACTAGGGTGACAAGCCACGGCCCTCACTAGGCTGGATTTTCATAGCCACGCCCCATCACTAGGTGATTTTCACAGCCCAGCTGGCCCACACTAGGGCTGATTTTCACGAGCACGCCCACCACTAGGGCTGATTTTCACAGCCACGCCCTCACTAGGGGTATTTTCGGGGTAGGGCTTCTATTGCGCACATGCTTAGACAATCCTGCTAGGGCTTATTTGATGGGTAGGTTATTGTTCGGGGAACACGGTACCTATCTCTCCCTTGACCCCAAAACTACTTCTAGGCTCATTTGACTTCACTTGAAGCCCCTGCCTCTGTTTTGCAACCACATAGCATGGATTAGGATTACAGTAAACTCAGAGAATTATTTGTGTACCAGCCAAGTATATAGAGTAGGCAATGGAGGCAATCGTTCTGTCCTTTCCCAAGAGGTTAGCAGGCTCTGTCTAAAAGGAACTCCAAGCCTCTAAACAATTTAATAAAATTAATGCGTTTTTAGCGCAAACTCTTTGCACTTTTAACATAACACCAATTTCATAATTTGAAATCTATTTCATTG